CCCTGGTAGGGATCTGGGGTTCTGAGAGGACAACTGTTGGGACCCTCCAGTGGTCCACGTATATTTATCAACAGCATTCGCAAATAAAAACATTCATCATTTCTTGGATGCACAGTATAAATGCGACCTAGTGCATCAGTGGAAAACACCTGTGGCCAATCTGGAACTGGGGTTCCTTGTTTTCGACGTTGGAATTTCTTTGATGATTGATTCCAAGTGAAATACTTGGGCATTTCAATGTACATCAGCGTCGCTGCGAATGGATCTGTTTCACACATTTCAAAGAAGCTAGTCAATGTGGTCGTTGGTGGTCTCTCAGCTCGTTGTGCCGCATTAGCCTCAGTGAAGTAAACTCTTTGGCCATTTTCCAAATGCACTGCTAAATGTACAACTGTGGGATATCTTTAATGAATTTGAAATGACAATAATCGCCACAGTGCTTCATTAGTACTGACGTATCTGCCAATTTGGAAGTTGCTGATTTCGTCATTCGCATTTTCCGACGCGATACCAAACACAGCCATGTCGCTGCCTTTTGTGACGTACTTGCACAAATATTTGATTGATTTGGCCGAATGACAACTCTCAACATTTGCATGTGTTTCGAAAATTCGTGATAGCAGCGGGCAATATGGTACAATAAATTCATTTCCGATTTCAATCTCTTGATTTTGAACTTTAACTATAATAGTTCAACCATTTTCCTCTTTTGAACGCCGACGATAAACTGGATATCCATCGTTCCCTGTGACTGTTGCAGTAACTAACGGTCGCGGATATCGTTTTGTGCATTTTCCATCAGCCATGCAAGGCGATAATGGATTTAATGCACCGCACTGTCCATGCACGATCTGTGTCGTCACAATGTCGTATAGATGGGGATCAGTGACTGGATCAGGAATTTCAGCTGATATTTTGTCATCCACTTCATTTGAATGTAATTTGTTAAGCAACCAAATTAGGATATGAGCATGCGGTAGTCCACGCTTCTGCCATTCCACCGAGTACATATAACAACGTGTGTCACCAAAAACTCGATACTTAGTAAGCACATCCATCATAACCTTGAGTTTTTGGTGAAATACTCTGGCGATTATGTCATGGCGATCCTGCGGTTTTTGGCCCGGTTCCAACTCACGTTCAATTTCCGTCCACTTCGGATTGCATGTAAACGTAATAAATAAATCTGGAGTTCCATAATTTCGCACGTACGTCATAGCGTCTTGAGCGTATTCATGCATGTGGCGTGGGCTTCCGATATAAGATGATGGAAGAATCGTCAGACGTCCAATATTCTGAACATCACCATCTGAATGAATAGCATCACGCAAGTGTATATAGTCCTCAGATCGTAACTTTGCCTGATTGAATCGGATGAACGCTAAACGTTCGGTCTCGACTTTGACATACATGTCGACAGCGAATTGCTGAAACAGCCGACGGCACTTTAGAATGACATTCTCCTCATTTGTACGAATCATCATACGATACGCATAGTAATTCATTGCGCTTATTTTTTTATTCATTGATACGCCTGAAAATGCACAATTAAATGAATTGTTAATGGAAACCAATAACAATAATTTAAATAATTAGTAGAATATTGTACCTGTAATTGGATCGACCATCTTCAACGTGATGTCGTATCCTTCTTGCCCTTGCCAATAAATGATTGGATATTGTAACGCATCGTACAAACGGTGTGTCTCGTTTACTCGATGCATGATATTGCTTCTTCGCTGAACCACAATGTCTCGCGATTTAGTTGGATCGCCAACAATAATTGCAGCAACATCATTAACGGTGGGTGCATTGAATCTTCGCACATGTTCACCTGCTGGGGTACAATCCGCTCTTATGATAAATTTGTGCGTATCCGATGGCATTCGTTCCAATGCCGATTTGAACATATTAACCACAGCATTATTAGCGTGAAAAAATGCTTGCAACTGTTCAATAATTCGTCTCTTTAAGTGTCCTGTTCCCTGAATGTTGCAACGCACATTTAGCTGATCCACCATCGACGAAATGAAATATATTTGCAGAAATTGATGCGGTTCCTCTGTTGTTGGCACCAATGAACCATGCAAATGATATATTTGCCCTTGTATCTGTAATTGCAAACAATCATTTGTTGAAGAATCGTGTGATGGTGTAGTCCGTAGAGTATATGTTGTTATTATGTTGCAATTCTTTTTGTTTGTCTAAGTGATGGTAACTTTTACCTTGCAAGTCGGCATGAAGCCGCCTTCTCGAATGATATTAGCTCCAAAGGAAGTCATGCGAAAGCAGTTATTATATTCAAGGATGTGTTGAAGAAAATGGCTGGAATCTGGATCAGTTCCATCGAACAATGCTTTTAGTGGCTGTGGTGGTGTAAGTAATGGATCCAGTTTGACTTTTCCACTTGCGCAGCACAATCCAGCAGTTTCTCTTTTAAACTTTAACGCATTGCAATATCTCTGTAGTTCGCAGAGGGATCATATTGAAATGCCAAGCGATTGTATGATGCCAATGATCTTCGTGTGCACACGCGTCGTCTTAATCGGTCATATTCTCTTCTTGCATTTCGTCTTTCCTCGCTTAAGTTCTGTGAATACACTTGTTGCTGGATTGCATGCCTTGTGCGGAGACCGATGTTCGCACGTCGTGCTATAGGCATTTTCGACTATAGGCATAGCGGTTAATTTAACCTCTAATCCACATAATTTACACAGTTCAACTTACCACCCTAAATACAAATGCTGGTTTCCAATTGCACTGATATGAAACGAATAACTTATTTTACTCCAAATGAAACACAATTTCAATTTGTCATAAAATCAACTGAGTAAAGAATTAAGACATGCTATGTGTCAGTGTTGGCGCTTTATGCAAAAATGATTTTCCCGCTTTCTGTTGCAATTTTTCCTGAATTTTCTTTACTGCATAAAATCACAAATTCCGAGACCTTTCCAACGAATGCAAAACCGTGGAAATCGGTTCGTGCGTTCTGGAGTTAATTGATCCCCGCAGAAAACTCGACTTATTTTTATATAATAGATAAATTTAGATTTTTTACTCGCATTCTATAGGTTGCCTTGACTTATTTTAATTTTGACAGAAAATAGTAGTAGATAATCAAACCAAAAAGGCGGTTTTATTCGTTTAATAAATCCAATAAAATGTCCTCATGAAAACGCTTTAAACCGAAATTAAAGAATACAATGAACAATAGATTCAATGAATATTTAAAATTAGTTCCATATAAGATTTAATTCTCAGAATTGTTTTTTCATCACAGAAATGTTGAAAATTTTGGGAGTTTCAACTTTGGCGTCGAATTCCAAAGACATGGGCAATGGTCCACGATTGGGACTATTTTTTAGTAGTGCCGTGATGTATTGAGAGTAGGTCCCACCGAAAATAATAAAGGTAAGTCCGATTATATAGGCCACGTAATTCAAAATGTCGGCAAACATTGGTTTTTTGTATTCTTGGGTATACCGCCGAACCTGTAGGTGATGGAAAATAATTTTGTATGGGACTTTTACTCAGGAGCACCCAAATATCATGGAAAACTTGAAATGGTTCGGGGAAATTTTTGGCTGTGTACCTGTGTTATTACTGAGTGAGCTGGAGCCTTGGGCTTTATTTTTACAAGGCTTGATTTAAGAAAATCAAGTTCTTGCAATTTTTGGTCTGTTGCCCACCAGGGGGGTGGCGGTTGATTTGTAAATAATAGCCACTTAATCTGTGCTACTCTTTTATTAATTTTATTCTTCACGCCCCCTCTTTTTGCCATGGCTCCATCTCTGCTCACTCAGATTTTATTGCTCCATTTTTCCATTCTTAAATTGTCTCCTTATCCAGTTTTTCTGTTCTGCCTTTCCAGGTTAGCTTTTGCACTTGTTGGCTTACAGGTATCTCTGTAGTCACGGTCGCCATGATGTAATGTTGAGTCGCCATGTAGTATATTAATTGTTCCACCAATTAAAAGACATCAAGGTGTATTGGTTTAGTTTAATTCTTTATTAATTTGGAATGAGCAATGGTGACGCTCCAACGATTATATTGTCTCTGGCTTTGCATTATTCCTTTAATTCTAAGTAAGGCTAAGTCTCGTCGCTGCACTGCCTACAGACGGCGGCAGTGGGACGGCTATGTATATGCTTATGTATATAGGCTATGCTCTTTTAAGCGGGAGCGCGAGGTATATGCACATGTGGTCCGTTCGTGTTACAATTATGCCGACGCTAGCACTTTCTGTGTGCGATCATAGCAAATGCGCTTACACGTTCAAAATGTTGCTCTCCAGCGTTGCTTCGTTTGACAAACTCCCAAATAGCACGGCCAGTTCCCTCCAGTTGTACTTTCACCACAAGTCGCAATTCTTGTTCAGTTGTAATTGTGTGTGAAAACGCACATCATCACTCTCCAATTGTCTGGCATTTGATGTTTGGGTTAAATCCCGGTTGAGTCCCAAAATTGTAGGAATTTAATATTTAATGCAATTTTTTATTTAAAGATTTGGTTTTACAAAGTTTTTTCTTTTAGTTTTTCAGGAGCTCTTCTTTTACAACTTCTTCTTTTCTCTCTTGGCAGTCTAGTGATGACAAAACATGACTTCTCTGTTCTGAATTCTCCATATTCTAACTATCGAGTAGTATTTTAATATCATTTTGATGTTGTATTGCCAGATAGCTTAAACAGCTTCGAGTGTGCCGCGAAGGAAACGCGCCTGTTTTAAATCCTACACAAATAATGAAGTTGCTGTAAGTTACTGTAGTAATGCTAACCGCTGGATCTCTGAGACTGATATTTACAGGAGTACCCTTCCGGCTTATAGTTAAGGAGTTCATTCTGATATTTTCAGCCTGTTTCTACGCAGCTAACATGCATATGTATTTTGCGGTCTTTCGCTGGGTTACTCCAGCTAGTCTAATTATAATATAGTCTTATAACTCAATTTGTAATATTATGGTATTATTATTTGGAATATGTTTTTTTTTTTTTTACAGAATGCTAAGCCCAGAATGCCAGATGTTGTTTTTTTCTGCAACTTACGATAAGGAAGTAATGGACTTCGCCCGTCTCATAGTTAGCGAACCTACTATAATAAGGTATTACTTATTACTTCAATATCAGCCTTAATCTACAATATAACAAGAAAGGAAGCTAACTTCGGCACGCCGAAGTTTGTATACCCTTGCAGATATTATTTCATTACATTTTAGCTATACTTATTATGTTTACAGTTTGACAGTTACAGTTTTGCATTCCCAGCTTTACATTTTCTCTACATCTACCGATCGTTTCTATGGCAGCTATAAGATATAGTCGTCCGATTTTCATGAAACGTTTATCGAAATTCTGAAATAATATAAAATGGCCATACCTAAAAAATTGTGCAAAAATGTTGGAAAACAGCCAAGTTATACTTTTTTTTCTAAAAATTTATCGAACATTTGTATGGCAGCTATATGATATAGTCATCCGATCCGGCCCGTTCCGACATATATATCAGTGAGAGTATATAGAAGACTATATGCAAAGTTTCATTCAGATAGCTTTAAAACTGAGGGACTAGTTTGCGTAAAAACGGACAGACGGACGGACATGGCTAGATCGACTCGGCTGTTGATGCTCATCAAGAATATATATACTTTATAGGGTCGGAAAGGTCTCCTTCACTGCGTTGCAAACTTCTGACTGAAATTATAATACCCTGCAAGGGTATAAAAATAAGTTATTATAATAAGGTATTACTTATTGCTTCAATATCAGCCTTAAGGGGGGATATAACATACATGTAAACTGTCCAAATTTAGACATTTTTCGTGAATTTTTTAATGTAGGAAATAGTCAAGCTATCTTAAAACTTTAGATATATGGTAGTTAAAAGTAGAATCGGAGATGATAAAAAAATGTTGTTATAAACAATATTTTACAAAATGGCGGACCTATGGAAAACATGCCGCAGCGTCTCAAGCTTTGAGTTTCCCGGCTATGGACACGATAGAGCACGTAATTTGAACCTTCTATTCGAACCTAAAAAACCAAAAAGAAATTATAATCAAAATATTAAATTTAGTTTTGAAGGGGAAAATGCTATTTTCAGGGAATCAGATTTCACTTCCCACCCTCTTAAAAAATAGTAATACTAATTTTTATACTTCCCATGTAGGTTCAAATAGAAGATAATTTCATGCTGATCATAATAATTTTTGATCCACTCCGATATGTTACATAGTTTTTTGTGAATCGTGTCCAAAGCATAGGTAAAAATTCAAAAATTAGAAGCTGAGAAAAAGACGTTTAAAGTTTTTGATGCGCCCACGTTAACACTTGTATAAATTATATTTAGATTGGTTACTACCTGTTTCCCGATCGCCTGTGAAGGCAATGGTAATAAAGGAGACGAGTTTGGTTTCAATTCTGTTTATTGATCTTGACCCGCTAGGGTAAGATATGAAATTATTGTTACAGTGGTTTATTAAATTGCACAGCTACGGCTGTGGAGTTATGATTCTAAACTAAACTAAAGGTCTACGGCGGCCGCGGCTTGTAGTCTTTGGGTAGCCGCAGCGCTGCCGCCAAGATGCCTGGTCAGCACTTGGTATCCGGCGCATGTCGATCATGCGCCGCCCGAATGTTCCCGGCACCGTTGGTAAAGTGCCGGGTCAGCAACTTGTTGCCGGGCGACGGACTCCAGGCAATTGCCCTCGGAGTGCTTGGTCACCAGATTCGCCGTTGCGCGTTTTGGCCACCGGATGCGGCCTGCAACTCCGCGAATTTGCCGTATGGGAAATGGATGTGTTAACTATTCCCCCTTTTAAGTGGTCGCCGTCCCGGTGACCTTCAGCTTCTACGTCGCCAAGGATTCCAGAGACTGCATGGCTATTGGTTTTAAGATGGCAGTATCCAAGCCAGACAGTGGAGCACAGCAGAAGGGCGGCGAGTAGTGCGAAAGCGTAGTTAATGAAGGAGCCCATGGTAAGCTTATCCCGAAGTGTTCCGATGTGCTGGAGGTTCGTCAAGCTTAGTGCGTGGAGGAGTGGTAGACTTAGTCGATTTTGGTGTGTCGTGACGTTGACCACAGTCATGCCTGATACGGCGGGCTTCTTCATCGAGTTCCCCAGCTGGTTAACGTACCAGGTTCCGTTGAGGCTCACTCGGTCCGAAAATGTCACCAAGTAAGTTCCGGTTATTCTCTGGTCCCGACCTTGGTCATCGGTTACAGTCACGTTGGCCTCATTTACAATGATAGTGCCGTGGTCCACCATGGTAATTGGGTCAAGGTGGCCTGGCAGTGTGGAGCAATGTGCAACGGCTCCAGATATCAGTTGCTGAGCACACGTGTCGTCTTGCAGCTCCTTGCAGAAGGTGGCACCGACTGTTGTCTTGCAGTGTCCGATATTTAGGTTTCGTTCGGGGCATTCGGCGACCAAGTTTCCTTTCTCGAGGTCCAAGATTTTATTATGGTGCTGGACCGGGTAGACCGTAATTTGCTTACATGTAAACTTAGGTTTAGGGAATTTAATGAGGAAGTGGAGGATGTCTGGGGTTTGAAAAACACTAATACTAGATACTTCTAATAACTCTATTAAGCTAACATTAATAGGCTGCATGTCTTTAAATTCGCCAATGTCGGAGTTATCAAGGATTGCTGGACTTACAATGTTTAACTTTGCTAGGGTTAGGCCCATTAATATGTTTTCCAAATCTGTGATGACGATTCTGTTTTTTGCTAAGATGATTTCCAAAAGGTGTGTTTCTTTATCTGACTCGAATTTCTGGATTTGATTCATCGCGTTAGCGAGTTCGTTTAGACGTTCTTGAAACTTGATATTTAGCTCTGTCTGTCCCTCGTCCGCTTTCATTAATGTTTCCTGATTGAATTTTACTTGCTCCCAATCATTGAAGTCGGGAGTGCCCGCAACAACCTTTAAGGCTGTCCCGAGTATGTTGAGACTCCTAGCAGCCCTATGATGGAACTTAAGGGTAACTACCAACTTGCGAATATGTCCGAGGTCCGTCTTTATTACCGGCATCCGGTGGTCGTCAGTGAATGTCTTAGTTAGTGTCTCCGTCTGGTCAGCGTAGTCTTCGTATGACGTCATGTTAGTCGCGTGCTGTAAGTACCCATAGGACTCCCACACTATGATGTTACCGTCTTCTATTGGTATGTAGTCTGTGTTCGTATAGTCATTTAGTCTTATAGTCGCGTCCGTCCTAACAGCCGTTAGTGTCAGAAATAGGAACCTAAAAAGTATAGAAAATGCGAAAATTAGGTTGGAGAGTCTAGCGAAGATGGTTAACGCAGGTTGTCCTTATGGACCACTCTCCCTTTAATTAGGACCGTTGTCCCCAGGTCCGCTTCAACAACCTCTTCTGAACAAAGTGGTGAGAGCTTGTTACCTAGGCGTCTGTTCGTTTTCAAAAAAACTTTCTCGCCGACCTGATAGTTTTTGTAAGTCCTGTCTTTGTTTACCTGGTCTAGGCTTCTTTCTTGTGCCTGTTGGATTTTCCTGTTAATTTCCCTCTCGAATTCTACAGGTTTCGAATGAATTACCTCCATTGGTTTCCTGTTGGTTACCGAGTGGATTGAGCTATTGTATTTATTTGTTGCAAGGAGAATTAGTTCGACCGTATCGTTTAGGTTGCTTCCAAGCTTCAGGCATCTGGCTATTTCCGCCAGGGTGCTATGAAACCTCTCTACCTGCCCATTTGAGGTGCTATGCAGAGGTGGAGCGTTTGAGACTGTTATGTTGAAATGGTTCAAAAGAAAAGACTTGATGGTTTCTGAATTTAGTGACTTTTCATTGTCACAGTAAACTGTTTTGGTTTTGGGAAAAAAATTTATTATGTGTAGTAGAGGAGCTTTAATATCCACAATAGCCCTTGATGCGATCTTCTGCACTGTAGCGAACTTTGAGAATTTATCGACGCATGTAAGAAAAAGTGTCCCGTCCGTTGAGAAAATGTCTATGTGTAGGATTTCTCTTACGGAAGAAGGGATGGGTGTTACCGCTACTGCCTGCTTGGATGGATGGCGTTTGCAGTTACTTCTGTTGCTAACCGCAGCATTTTCGGGAAGAAATAATCCCTCAGGATTTGTTTAACATTTTCCTGTGCCGCTCGGTGAGCCCTGTTGTGCTCTGTTACAACTATTTCCCTTTGTTCTGTTACGTCCGTTATGTCTTGTACAAAGCTCTTCGCATACTTGAAGGAAGTGCTAGGGAATAATTCAACTAGTTGATGTTGAATGAACGCTAGGATCGGTAATGAGCAATGTATTGCATTTACTACCTCCGCATTCACAGCATCTTGTAGGGCTTCTAGTAGGTTGTCGCGATTTTGTATTCTGATCACGTGCCTTACTTTGCTCTTAAACAAGATGAACGTATCTACCGAGAAACCGTTTCCTTCTTCAATTATTATTTGATTCCGGAAGCAGTTTACGGGATTGTCGGTTGAGTCGATCGTGTAAGTTAGCGACTGTTCGCTATGTACTGTTGCTATGTCAGATTCTTGCCCGTCTTGGAGGGCGTTTATGTTCTGGCGGGACAGTGCGTCCGCCACGAGGTTTTCCTTCCCTGGCTTGTAAACTAGTGTTGCGCCATGGTCATCGATAATCCCTTTCCAGCGTTTCAGCTTTGCATTAGGATTTTTATCGGAGACGGCGAAGGTTAGTGGCTGATGGTCAGTGAAGATTTTCAAGCCTTTTACCCCGTAGAGGTAATTTCGGAGACTTTTTAATGCCCATGCAATAGCGAGGAGTTCCCGCTCATTGGTCGCATAATTTTTTTCACAATCACGCAGGGCGCGTGATATCATGGTGATTGGACGGCCGTCTTGAGATAGCACTGCCCCTAGACCAAAGCCTGACGCATCCGTCGTTAGATCGAATGGCCTCTTAAAGTCTGGGTATGAGAGGAGAACGTCTTCTGATGCTAAGATTTCTCTCAGTCTGTCAAAAGATTCTCTTTGCTCATTTGTCAAATTTATGTCAATTTTTCTTGACTGGTATTTACTGGCCTTTCCATTTTCCCCTTTCAGAATATTTGTCAAGGGTCTTGCGATTGTCGCAAAGTTTTATATGAAGCACCTGTAGTAGCTT